TTCCGAAAGAAGTGTCCATGGTAGTGATTAAACAATGTTCACAACATTATTATCATAATGTGTAGATAGTTGGGAAAGATTAATATTTCGAATTTTTTTTCGAAATATTCATTTCCTTATACGTATGTATCTCTCCTCGATAGTTTTCACTTTTGATTTCTGTTAGAATTTTGGTAAATGGAATGTCATTTCCCCGCTTGGGGCTTTGTTCACGAGATGGAGTTGTTACTAGTTAACAATCTTTCTCTCAGACGAAGGTTTCATATATGTAGCGGAGCCGTGTTGAAATTAAATTACTGAATGAAGCAACCCAAATTGAGGTCCTTGGAAATTTTGCAATGGAGCCTACTGCATCAACACGTCAAGTATCTGCAGTGACAGGACTTTCGGTTAGAAAGGTGTTGAAATTACATTTTTCACCCGTACAAAATACAAATTCTTCAAGAACTAGGCGGTGATGATCCAGACCGACGAATTGAGTTTTGTGAACTCACGATTGAAAGAATTCGCGTTGAACCGAGAATGTCAAAAAATATTTGTTTCAGTGATGAATGTACTTTTATGCTGATTGGTATTCAAACAATTCATCAGTTATATTGTACTCTCACATATTTTATTTTGTCGTACTTTTGGCGAATAAAAATTATTGAAAACAGGATATACATACTATGTATATTATATTTACGTGTTATATTATATTTACGTGTTAATTGAATAGAACTGGCCGATACTTGGTGAAAATCAAGATTAAAACTAAGTAATACACTTTATTGCATGATTTTCACTATAAAGGGTGTTACATAAAACCGCAACACGTGTTTCGCTTTACAATAGTTTTAGGCTCGAGAAAGATATTGTATAGCGAAACACGTGTCGCGGTTGTTGTAACTCCCTTTATAGTGTGTTACACGTATTGCGTAGTGAAAATCTCACAATAAAGTGTTTTTTGAATACGTTAATATATATAGTTTGAATATTATAAATTTTCTAAAATTCAAAAGTTCTTTACTCATTTATTATTAATTATGAATAATAACTGCTCTCGATATATTGTCATTTTATAATTCAATTCTATTTATCAATTTCTCCATTTATGATTTTATTCTGATTATTGAACGATTTAGTTTCTATAGCTCTAAAAATAATATTCTAGCCATTTTGACACCCACTGTATACCGGGTGTCCCACATTTTATGTGACAG